CCTAAAATTATATTTTCACCGTCTTAAATAAACCCAGACAGATACCAAGACTTTTTACTTGTAAATAATTTACCACAGATGCATCAACTAAATGTATCTTGTGCGATGTTAGAGATGATAATAGTGCCTAAGTTATCTTATCATCCCTGATAATAGATTTAGATTTCCACTAATCATGTATTGCAATGTACATATACATGAACAATCTATGAAATCTTTATATTTTCTTGTCCCATGTATGCTGTCACAAAATAAGGTTTCCATGTAAATGTGTGTGGATAATATTTATCTACATGTAGGATATACGTTTGTGTATTTATAATGTCAAGTATCAAAATGACAATGTTATTGTTTTGTCATAGCCATGTCTTATACAGATTACGTATATTGCTTTATATGGCATTATGTTTGTATTTTGTATTATCATACAGTACTAAATTACTTATTATGTGTATTCTTTGGAATAATATGTATTGTTAATCATGACAAAATGTAATGTCTTGATATTATATGTATATTCAGTTGGCGTTAGCCATGATAAATATTTCTATTATTGAAAAGTATAAATTATGCTTGTATACATATAGATATAAAGGTATAGAGATATCTTAAAATTGTACATATGAGGGATTCTTGTTTGAAATAAAATAAACTCAAATTTTTTTTGAAAAGCTAATTGAAAATTGATATTTGTTATGAGAGAAAAATGGTTCGGGTCTTTAATTGGTCCAGTTTGACAAAGTTATTTTATTGGTCTATATTAATTGACTAATTTTTACAAATATATCAATAGGTTTGCTGTATGTGTACTAATGTAAATTGAATAGAATAGTATTTATACCCCCGCACAACAAAGTTGTAAGGGGGGTATACTGGAATCAGCTTGTCCGTCCGTCCGTCCGTCCGTCCGGCTGTCCGGCCGTCCGGCCGTCCGTCGGTTTTTTCTTGTCCGCCCAATAACTTAAGATTCCTTTGACCCTTAGTCTTCATATTTGGCATGGAGGTTAGTCATGATTAGTAGATGACCCCTATTGATTTTGAGGTCACTAGGTCAAAGGTCAAGGTCACAGGGGCCTTGACTTCAAAAAGCTTGTCCGCCCAATAAATTAAGATTCCTTTGACCTACAGTGGTCATATTTGGCATGGAGGTTAGTCATGATTAGTAGATGACCCCTATTGATTTTGAGGTCACTAGGTCAAAGGTCAAGGTCACAGGGGCCTTGCCTTCAAAAAGCTTGTCCGCCCAATAACTTAAGATTCCTTTGACCCTTAGTCTTCATATTTGGCATGGAGGTTAGTCATGATTAGTAGATGACCCCTATTGATTTTGAGGTCACTAGGTCAAAGGTCAAGGTCACAGGGGCCTTGACTTCAAAAAGCTTGTCCGCCCAATAACTTAAGATTCCTTTGACCTACAGTCGTCATATTTGGCATGGAGGTTAGTCATGATTAGTAGATGACCCCTATTGATTTTGAGGTCACTAGGTCAAAGGTCAAGGTCACAGGGGCCTTGACTTCAAAAAGCTTGTCCGCCCAATAACTTAAGATTCCTTTGACCTACAGTCGTCATATTTGGCATGGAGGTTAGTCATGATTAGTAGATGACCCCTATTGATTTTGAGGTCACTAGGTCAAAGGTCAAGGTCACAGGGGCCTTGACTTCAAAAAGCTTGTCCGCCCAATAACTTAAGATTCCTTTGACCTACAGTCGTCATATTTGGCATGGAGGTTAGTCATGATTAGTAGATGACCCCTATTGATTTTGAGGTCACCAGGTCAAAGGTCAAGGTCACAGGGGCCTTGACTTCAAAAAGCTTGTCCGCCCAATAACTTAAGATTCCTTTGACCCTTAGTCTTCATATTTGGCATGGAGGTTAGTCATGATTAGTAGATGACCCCTATTGATTTTGAGGTCACTAGGTCAAAGGTCAAGGTCACAGGGGCCTTGACTTCAAAAAGCTTGTCCGCCCAATAACTTAAGATTCCTATGACCCACAGTCTTCATATTTGGAATGGAGGTTAGTCATGATTAGTAGATGACCCCTTTTGATTTTGAGGTCACTGGATCAAAGGTCAAGGTCATAGGGACTTTGACTTCAAAAAGTTTGTCCACCCATTAACTTAAGATTCCTTTAACCCACAGTCTTCATATTTGGCATGGATGTTGATCATGACTATAAGGTGACCCCTATTGATTTTGAGGTCACTGGGTGAAAGGTCAAGGTCACAGGGACCTTGACAAAAAAAAGCTTTTCTTCTCAATTGCTAAAGAATGTCCTGTCCGCAATGTATTGATTTTGACATTTTCACATTTGAAGCATGTAGAATACATAACTTAGCAATGCACTGGCTTAGTAACCTCAGATTTGGCAGGGAGGTTGTCCTTGAGCTCTAAATGGCCACTGTTGATTCTGACAAAGTGGTATGCGGGGGTATTCACGCCATCATAGTGGCAGTTCTAGTTCTGAATGAATTGATTTTTCTATCAGCGTGCGGTTAAACAATCAAAATGAAGAAGATCACCTGTAAACATATTTAGAATTATAGCGCTACAGTTCTTCTTCTGTCAGTTGCATGATCTGACTTCATTATTTGAGCCTAGACTATAATGATTTAGTACTACAATGGGGTTTATCTCAGAAAATCTGTCTTAACCAGACTGAGACACTTTGGTAGAACTTCATTTCTTTCGGGTTTCTGTGCGATTTAATTTGCATAAGTATTTTTCAAAAAAAAAAAAAAAAAAAAAGGCACAAAATACACTAGTTTTGTTTATAAATATGTTCAATATGTTTTAAAGGGTACGTGGAAGATGTTCTTGATTATATAGATGATGTTGGTGATGAGATAGAAGGTGTGAGTGTGGCAGGAGGTAGTGTTGGCAGAAGGTGGAGGTGAAGTGTTGGCAGAAGGTGGAAGTGCAGTGTTGGCAGAAGGTGGAGGTGAAGTGTTGGCAGAAGGTGGAGGTGAAGTGTTGGCGGAAGGTGGTGGTGGTGAGGTGTTGGCAGAAGGAAGTGGCGAGGTGGTGGCAGAAGGTAGTGGCGAGGTGTTTGCAGGAGTGGAAGACGCGAAATCTGATGGAAGGCCATTGTGGCCTGGTCACCCGACCCCATGTCCCATAACACTATGTGGGGACCATATGTATGCTAGCCACAGCACCTTTATGAGACACTGGGGGCATAAGCACGAAGAGTTTATTGAATTGTGGAGGTGCCCAAACTGTAGTAAAACTTCGGCAAGAAAAACGAACATTTCTCATCATCAAAAGACAAGCCACAAGATGAGTTCCAGTCTCTCGCCGAGTCTGGAACTCAACCAGGCATACATCAGTCCAGGTAATGTCCTTCCGTTTAAACCAGACATACGCGCCCAGCAGCAAAGGAAGCGGAAGCGTATAGCAGCGGAGGCAGAGGCTAGGCTGGTAAACACCCAAACTGGTAAACAAGTTGTCTGCCGGGATGAGGTTGCCATGGTTGAACAAGGGCAGTTGTTCATTCATCGAAAACCTAAGTGGCACCGTATTCAACAATAATGTTTTTTTATTCGCCTGGTCAGCCGACGTGCTGCTAGGTCCGCCAAACCCAACTGGGGGCCGCGGATAAGTCGCCTATACTGGAGTAGGTCCATTTAAGGTCAAACCAGGCATAAGACCTTAAAATGGGTATGATGTGGATCCAAATGTGTCCTTATTCTACTTTCAATGCAGATGTCCGAAGACAAGAAGATCAACAGTGCTTTATGACATTCTTTAAATACAGTGTTTAATTTATCATAGTGAAACGCAGAATTTATTCTAAGTGTACTTCTACTTCATTTATTCAGGACTTTCAATTTTAACGGTTACATTTGTTAGATTTTGATCAGTGAGAGTTTTCACTTTGCGTTTTGTTAATAAGGACATTTCTTCTGTTACAATGAAAATATCTTCCTGCTTATTTTCAAATTTATTATTGACTAAATTAATCAATTTAGATCTTAAGATGGGGGGAGTGTAGCAGGAGCGATATTTTCTATAGTATATTGTTCATTTCATACTATCTATATAACCATATAATTATGTTGGTATGGCCTATTTTGAACTACTTTTCTTCAGTACACCTAGTGAGGGTTTATTAAAGGTATACACCTTGATTTTATATGAAGTACATTAGATGTTTATACATGTATGTATAAGTTAACTTCTTTAATACGTTTCAGTAACGCAGTTATAACCCTGGCTTTTCATATATTCCAATTTTATAGAGTATTTATCCTTAAACTACATGTTTATAAGGACCTGAAATCATTCTTTTTAGGCAGTTTCCTTACATTATCAGTGTATGGTTATACACCTTTAAGTTATAGTATAGCGTACTTGTACTTGCAGCATGAGATTTTCATGCTTCTTGTTTTTCCTTCCAGAGGGTTGTTAAATAATAACATGAACTATGTGTACAATTAGTTTCACTATAGTTTTATATATGCAGTCTAATGACAGTACTTGATTTTATGTTTATTTTGGTAACGTCCCTCAATTTTTGGCGGGAAATCCCTGGCATAAATAGGCTCCCAGCCTATGCCCAGCGTTCAGTGCTTTGGTCGCCGAGCTGAAGGTAAAGTGTTACCTATTTCATAGGCCTTAGAACTGAACCATCTTTCTCTCTCTAAATTTTTCTATTTCTCTTTTTAATTTAGATTTTAGGTTCCATTTTTGGCTCTTAGAGAAACATTTATTTAATTCTTACAAATTATATTCAGAGTTTATTTCAGAATTATATAAAATATGGTATTATATTCAGTAATATATTTCATACAGCTTGTCTGCTTATAATAAAATTGTGAGTGTAAAGTTATTACATTTAGTTGTCTCTTTCCAAAATAAACACACACTATAAAATATAGATCGAACCTGGGTATTTAAGCCAAACAGTCCTGGCTCCTGTTACAAAACTATTAGATCAACACCAAAACAAAAACGACAAGAAAAACAGCGTTTCTAGCATTTATTTCTAACATCATACCTGTTTCAGATGGAATGTGATCTGGGATAGTTAAATTGCAATATATAGCGTTCTCTGCAGCAGATCTCAAAGGTTTCACATCTCTTCTATTTTCCACAGCATTTTTCAGAAGGTAACAAAACACGCGCATTACAGGATGATTGTGGGCCACGTCGACCATTATCATCCCAATATAGTTTACATAGCCTGAAATTAAATATTCCTTGTTTGATGAATACGTAATAACGTCCGTGTATCCGTCATTTTCTGTTTGTAAGTTTGTGGAAGAATGAAACATAAATGTGGCATAAAGATACAAATTATCACCTGCCAACTAATCATCGCTTGAAAATAGGAGAAAATGTGTTTTTATCAGTTTTTAAGTCGCAACGCCACTTCACGCCTTCACGCAACTTTTCAACGTAACTGGTGGCGGAAGACCATTAGGTACGGTCTCCATGTTTTTTAAGGCAGTTGCGGTCAATTGAGTATGACCATCGACGTTGGATTCAAAGTCAAAGCAGTGAGGGGAAAGTAGTGGTTCGAATTCAACGACTTTTACCACTCAGCAACTGACGCCTTTAATTTATAGCTTTGACATATCATTAATTATTGAATTTTAAACCTGATAGAAAAATATTACGGGCAGTCATTTAAGGCCCATTATGCGTTGGAAATGCTACCAATTTTATTTCTCAAAACTTTTAATTTATGGTATCTTGTTACAGTTTTCAAAGTAATAATCATTTGCCGTATATATGGTATAGTTTCTGCAACTATATAACAAAATACAACTTTGTTTACATTTTGCTACCTTTATGAGCCATTACTGCACATTCAGAGCTATTTTATCCAGTTGTTAAACATCATACAACCTCTTAATCTATTATTCAAACACAATTTAAATAATTAAACATAATGTCTGACATTTCCAAAGAATAAAAAAAATAATGATTTCTGAGACATAATAAATGCGCCTTTAAAGAATGAAATATACGTACATTTATCCATGGCTTCATAACCTCGCATTAGCAAACTTCGGTCCATTCTTGGTATCATAAATACACCCAAAAATGCACCAAGTAAAATACGCTTGAGGAAAGTAAAGAGTCCGATGCTAGCGTTAAGGAAAATAGCGAAAAAGTTGACAACGTCGTAAGCATTCCTAAACAGAAAAATAGCATTTATAAAAAATAAGCAAAATAATCACTACATAACTCGTTCGAACAAAATAGATCTAGTCAATTGGACTGGTTATACCAAACGTTAAATTTGTATGTATGTATTTTCACTCTCGCTGTGTTTATTATATGCTGTATATGTGTGTAATGACGAGGAATTGTTATGTTCAATTCATATTGAATAGTAAAATATGTTCTGTTCTGTAAAATTTCTATTAAATTCTTTATTTGTTTTATGAAACATTTAGTTTGAAAGCCGAAAATCGATCGACAAGATTTTATATGCATTTTTGTTTTGATTTTATATGCATTTTCGTTTTATCCATAAATTCTTTTCTGAAATAGAAAGAAGCTAAATTCTAAATAGTAAGTCAGTTAAGACAAGTTGTTTATTTTTTTTTTTAGATAAAAAATTATTCACCTGTTATCTACAGCTAGGGGTCTATATTTGTCCTCAACATTTATTTTTGGCTGGATGAAGTATCGACCAATTAAATAAATTTGCAGTTTAAATATGATGATGATACACACCGGATATCTGAAATAATAAATAAAACATGCGATAATATCACAAATTTTGAAATATTGCAAATTGTATACCATTACAGGATAACATTTGTAGGTCTGAAATAATCAATCATTTTATTTCACTTATCGATCAAAAAAACGTGAAAGAAATATAATTAACAAATAAATGTTTCACTAAAATTTCTCTGACTCTAGAATTAAATTCCTAAAATGTTTACTTTTTCCATTTTAAATTTGCCATGTAAATTGTCTTTATTCAAGGTTGTACATACCCTGTCACTGTTTAAAATTAAGGGCATGACTTATTTTATTTCTTCCATATCAATATAGTTCAGCAGGCACTATATTAACGCCTTATGAGTAATAAGAATGTGTTTTTGTTAACAACAAAGTATATGTCATATAGCGACTTCCTACTATTACTAGCGGAGGAAGACGTATTGTGCCCCTCCGTGCATTATTTTTCATACAGGACCGAGCAACTGACTGAAAGTTAGTATTGTGACTTTGTATAGGTTTGAACTATTATAATTAAAATAATTCTATTCTACTTGAAACCATTTCATTTTACTGAATAATCAAAAGATACATCAAATAAGCATACACATTTTCAAAAGTAAAATTAAAAGTGACTTCAATATTAACACATTCTTACTTTTTCTAAAACCTCTA